ATGTAACTAAATAGCTACTTATTTGATTACTATGTTTATTCAGCATATAAGCGGGATAAGAAGGATGAGCACTTTTAACTACCAAAAGGGCTCCAAATTTCTAAATTGAGTGCCAAAAACAGATTAACAACAGACCTAAAATCACACAAGATCATGTCATCCAAAAGATCTTTACTTTTAGTGTGACTATTAGTAAAAGTAATAAAAAAACAGCGTGTGTTAGAGAGTTCTCCCAAATAAAAAGGGTGAAAAAAAAGAAAATTGGACTACAGAGGGAAGTTTAAATTTTTGTTTGTGCATGAAAATAGATCAGATTTTATTATATGTAAGACAAATGAGCAATCTCGACCAGACAAGAAGAGAGTTTTGCAGTAGGCTAAAGCAAATACAATCAAAACTTGTAAACTTAAGGGGTGATGCCATATTGTCAGGATACACACTTCCCTGAATTTGCAATGTGCAGGGCATATTAAAAGTATGTGTGCCCACAAGTGTAATGAAATGCATATACATGCCTATAACAGCTAGCTCACCTCCAGTTGTTACATATGCAGCAGTTCCAGGAGTCACAACCACACCAAGTCCATCATTTCCAGCTCTTGACTCAGTAATTACAGGATAGTCACCTACTCCATCAGAGGCAACAACGGCAAATCCATCCTAGAAATCAAAAGGTGAACAGGTCCACATTGCTTATTTACTGACAAATAATGTAGCAAACTTAATAAGCCACATTTATGAACACTCAACACATTAAACACATGGATCCACAAATCATGCATTTACATAGCTGGCAGGCGGATTCATCTCAATGGAGCTAAAGTTTGCCATCTATTCGACCTCATTTGCAGATAACTTAATTGTTGTTTAATTTTGCAAACAGTATATGTCTAGGGAATCTGAGATGAATGAAGACGCAAAAAACAAGTCCGTGGAAGCTTAAATTCTAAAAAAGTCTAACATCATTTAGCATACAGAATGAAACACTCTAGCATTTAGCCATTTACATTGTGCAGTGTTTGTGTGTGTGGGAGGGGGAGATGGACCTTGATAGAGGCAGGATAAGGAGGAAGAGGGTCAGGAGCAGTGATATCTTCGGCCAATATTCTGCCCAGAGCTTGGTGGAGCGGTAACGTAACTGGCGGTAGGCGATGAGCTGCACTGAGCACAATCTGAAGTGCCTCATCCGGAGAAACCATCTTATCGGATATTGGAGTGCCGCCGCAATCACTCATGACTGAATCCTCTGGAAGCGCCCCGAAGTCGACGGTGGACTTGGTGGAAATGCTCAATGTAACCAGCATAGCATAGGACACCTTTACCCTTTGTAAATACGTACTATACCAGCCGCTCCCCACGTTCCGACATTCCTCGAACAGTTTTAGGACCTGTTTGGCGGGAGGGTTTAGGAAGGGAGGGAAGGAAACGGAAGGAAAGGGGAGCATTTGTGTGTGGCTAATGAAATATTCCCTCCATCCCTTATAACTTTGTCAAACTTTCCTTTTTTGGTTGTCCCAAAAAACTTTCCATTTTAATCGATCAATTTGTAGCTTCTGTTATTTCTCTCTCCTTTGTACAAATTTCTACCACACAGTTTTTACTTTATTATTCTACGTGCCGGTCAAACATGGCAAACCTTTCAGGGACGGAGGGAGTAGTTTATAATCACAAACTATTCATCTCTTATGTGAATGAATAAAACGTTATAATATAAAAAGGTAAAAAACAAAAAAAAAATTGCAAATTTTAAAAATTTATAGATTAAAAAATTTAAAAATTAAAAAAAAAATTAAAAAATTTAAAAATTATAAATTCAAAATTTTAAAAATTAAAAAAAAATAAAAATTCCAAACTGAAAAATGAAAAATTATAAAATTAAAAGAGTAAAAAATCAAATAAAATAAAATTATGACTCATGATCATAGGAGTAATATTCACAATAGGAGTGGAGATCGGCGTGGTTGTTTTGGCCGCCTCAGGTGGTGGAGGAAGAAGATGGGATGTGGATGATTTGTCCCCCTCCTGAACCGCCGCCACAGAGGAGTTACGTAACTAAGGCCTCGAAGACGGTGACGCAACTGCTATTTATTTGTTTTTGCTATGTCCTGGTTGATAATCTTTATTTTGGTTTTTTAGGTCAAATAATAAGGGTGGTAGGTTCTTAGTTTGGGTTACCTTAGTTGTTAGATCTTTTTTGAGAGGCAATCAGGCTGATTCAGTCGTTAATAGCCTCAAAGCTCTCACATTTTCAGCATTTAGTCTCGCTCCTGTTGGGATAAAGTGTAAACTACTCTATGTCTGATGAAGAAGTGAGGGGGGCGGTGGGCTTCTGGTTATGTTTGTTTAGAGAGAGGATCGTGTCGGGTGATTACGTTTATGTTTTGCAATTTCTCTTGGATGTACGGTGAGTTTTTGATTTTATATAATATGTTAGATTACCTTTCAAAAAAATGGATATATGTCATTGCCTGATTTTTATGTCAGGCTACAAGTGTCATTGTTATCGTCACCAATGTCACCATTGTCACCGGTGTCATGTCTCCTTGAAACAATCATTGTGATCGGCGGAAAATTTTTCTATTATTTTTTTTCACCCAAAAATTCATAAAGGTAATTAATACATTTTCCCACAAAGTAATAATAAGAAAGAGTAAGGTTGGAGTTATTTTTCTGGCTGTATCAACTGATGTTACTGTAGTGGATCATTTTAGTTGTTTTTACGTGTAATTTTTTCTTTATTTTATTAATATAATATATTTATTAATAGAATATATGTTTTTTAAATATAATTTTTTCATAAATCAACAAGATCTTTCGATTCATTCACTTCACCCAGAACTTCATAAATTTCAGCAGAATCAATCAATACAGTCGATTAAAAAATTGTTCAATATAGGACTAAAACATAAATAAAATTCAAAAATAGGAATAAGTATGTTTTATTCCTTAAATAGGACTTATGTGGTCCTATTAAAAGAATAATTGGGAAAACTGTCACATAGGTCCTCGAACTTTCATAAAAAGTCAATTAAGTCCTTCTATAGGAGACTCTGTCCGGCCGTCGCGATTTGGGGTGGTTCTCGGTTGAATTTTTTGATGAATTTGTTTGAGCATCTTATTCATCAAGTTTAGTTTACTCATTCCAAATTTCAGCTAAAAATTCAATTGGGAACGTAATCAAATTAATTCGAGAACGCAAAAATGCGCAGTTATCTACACGAATTAATTTGAATGTGTTTCAGATTGAATTTTTAGCTGAAATTTGGTATGAGTAAACTAGACTTGATGAATAAGATGCTCAAAAAAATTCATCAAAAATTTCCACCGGGAACTGCCTCAAATCGCGACGGCCGGACAGAACCTACTATAGAAGGACTTAATTGACCTTTTTATGAAAGTTCGAGGACCTGTTTGACAGTTTTCCCAAGAATAATTTGATTAAAACTTCTTAAAATAGGAGTGAACGAGTCTTATTTTTTTAGTAAATGAGTCTTATTTTGGGAATAAAATATTGATAATCCTGTTTATGAATTTTATTCATGTCTTAGTCCTATTTAGAAAAAATTTCCCCCGCCGCCGGCGATTTAAAGTGGCAACTACAAACACTATTGTATTAATTAAATAAAGATTGGTTACATTTTTCAAAAGTAAATACTAGTTATATGTTTATCTTCTAAAAGTATCAAAGTGATATTTTTATCATTTTCCCTTACTTTTTTTAGTGTATTATTGCTTTTTGTAAGTCATACACGAGCCATAAATATATTTAAAAATGATCAAATTATATTTTTGGCAACATGAATATCTAGACAAAAAATGATCAAAATATATTTTTAGCAAAATATATTTAGCTCGAAAGACATTGAATATATCTTGCCTGATCTACTAGTTTGGTCTACTATTCTAGTCCAGTAATAATGTGATACATATATGTTTTAGTATGATCTAAATTGGAACCTGATTTGATTTACTATGCGATTGAAATAAGTCTAAAAAAGTATTTCATCTACAATACAAAATTAAACATGACTACAAAAGTTATTTAGATCAATTTATTTTCATTATTTAAGAAACAAGATAAATAAAAAATTGTTACTTTAACATTCTAATTCTAAAATATAAAATAACTTAGAGGAAACTAAATATATTAATAACATGAGATAATAAAAAATTGAACCAGAGAAACACAATTTCCATTTGGTAAGAAAAGAATTTATAACGTTGAGTTGATCAATTGAAAAAGTTAGAAGCTTGGCGTCGTTGGGGCTGAACAAAAAGTGGTAGAACACACATGAACGGTATATGCTTAAAATTGACTTAACCAAAAAATAAAACAAGAATTAAATCGTCAGAACATGGTGAAAGATAGGTGCGCCAAGTATGAATTGGGGTGCGCGCAGCAGACCCTAATAGTAAATGTAACACCGCCCCCAAGTATTTGTACTGTACCAAATTATGTATTGAATCTTGAGAAATGTATAAAAGCATTTTTACGTGATTGTAAATTTTTATCATTTCTATTACGTGAATAGTAAAATTCACGTGGGGCCCACACCGGATGCGGGGCCGCCCAATATTATCGGAAGCACATACTATATTGATCTTGGACTAGATAATATGTATATGGTGATGGATATCCTAATTGGGCCATGGCAATGACATAGAGTTGACCGGTTGGTCAAACGGGGCCAAATTATCGGTATCGGCAATTTATCTGATAACAGCCCAAAAAGGGATTCCGGAGATTTCTAAATTAAAGATGGGGAATCATATTGATTCTAAGGTCCAATAAGGATTGGGAACAAGTGTTATATTTGATTTGACCCGATAAAATAAAATATACTTAAAACAGTCCGGAAAATACAACTTTCGGGACCGATTGTACACTCGGGTACACAAAGGGCTGACCTCCCACATGAGTGGGGGCCAACCCACGTCCTTGGTCTGGAAAATAGCCAGGGGATCCGCATCATGGAGATGAGATTGGCTGGGGAAGTGATTGGGAGGCCAATCAATATGAGGGTGGGACCTTTGCCATATGATTTGGTGAGAAATGCCAAAATGGCATCCTCAATCACCCCACATCCCATATGCTCGGCTCAATCATCCAAGGAAGGGAGAGAAGCTCTGCAAAAACTCCATTTTCATCCATCATACACGCACCAAGTTGAGGGAGGAAGAAGAAAGGAAAAAGAGAAGAGAAAAGAGGAGTTTAGGTGGGAAAACTTGTGTTTAAAAAGGTAATGACTCAATAAACCCCATTTCTTGTTCTTCAATCATTTTATACGATCATACAATCATATTCCACACCCTAGGATTGTTCTACACGTTTGGAAGTGTATAATGAGGGGTTGGAAGGTGGTTCTAAGTCCAAGAACGGACTTAGAAGCCAAAGTGACCGGTTCGCCGGAAAATAACCTTTTTGAGGTTATTTGTATTACTGTGGGTTTTATGATGATAAAACCTTGTTAGTAACTTGTCTAAGGTATTCAAGGAACTTTCACGGAGTTGAAAAGGTCGCCGGAGTTGTCGCCGGAGTTCGTTGAAGTTCGCCGGAGTTTCGTCGGAGCTAAATCGGGAAGGCTAGAACTTCATAAGCTTCATTAAGGTGAGAAGACGGCTTTATGCTTTATAACTTTTGCGTGAGGCATGAGATTACCTAAAGTAATCAGGAATATGTTTTGTGGAATGATTAAAGATAACCAAGTGTGTGTTTATGCCATGATTATACACAAAACATAGTTAAAAAGCATGTTATGTAGGTTTGGTGATTAAATATGTGATAACATATTTTTTGTGATGATCCAGGGATCCAAAATGGTATTTTTGGATCAAGGACATCAAGAAGTATATGTGTATAAAATTTCAAGTTAATCGGACTCCGTTTGGGGGGTCAAAAGGGGCATTGACCGCCAAGTCAACTGCCATACCCGATCGGGTATTGACACATACCCGACCGGGTATTTGTTGAAAATCAGCGTTGTGGACTACTGTCTCCTGTACTCGACCGAGTATGGGTTAATACTCGATCGAGTATTGGGTTATGCTCAAAACGGGCAGTTTTGAGTAGGTTAACGTGGGCCGTTCGGGTGGGACCCGCCCACGTTGGATCCTAAGGATTGTTATATGACTATAGGGCTAGGAATTGTCCATAGTTAAAGGAATGAAAGGTTAGCCATATCCAGGTTAGGATTTGGTAGAGAATAGACTGGGGATTGAGTGCCCTTGGACGGTAAATGATCCAGAATACTCCAGGTGGGGTCGAGTACCCTTGGACGGTAAATGATCCAGAATACTCCAGGTGGGGTCGAGTACCCTTGGACGGTAAATGATCCAGAATACTCCAGGTGGGGTCGAGTACCCTTGGACGGTAAATGATCCAGAATACTCCAAGTGGGGTCGAGTACCCTTGGACGGTAAATGATCCAGAATACTCCAGGTGGGGCCGAGTACCCTTGGACGGTAAATGATCTTAAATACTCCAGGATGGGTTGAGTGCCTTGGACGGTAAATGATCCTAAAACACTCGGTAGTATGAATCGAAGGTAGACTATAGCTTGTGAGCTAGGTAACCGGGAAAGGAGTGAGAAAAGTCAGGCAAGAACTTTATCTCTAAAAGACTCTTTAAGGTAAATGACCTACGGGTTGAGTATTTTACGAGTATATATACAGTATGTATCATCGGGTGGATGAGGGACATCTATATGTATATATCACCCTATTTTTGGGTCTCGTGTCTGAAACATTAGTTATTCTTCATATAGCCTGCTTGTCACTAGTACTTCTATGGAGTACTGACCCCTCCGGGGGCCCTCACATTTTTCAGGTTGAGGCTAGAGTCCTACTACCTGCACCTTTGCCTAGGGTGACTGATCGAGAAGGAAGATGTGGTTCGTGCTTCCATTCTTATTTCAAATGTATAAACCGCTCATGGATTTTTGAACAATATTTTCATTAAAACGGTTGGGGGCCTGCGTGCCCGTGTTTGCCACGTGTGGCTAAGTATCAAACATTTTATTATTCCGCATTTGTTTGATTATGATATTGATGTTGATTGTATGTGTTTACTAATCGGTTTGGCAATAGAATCGATCGGACGCCTTGTACAATCCAATAGGGGTGAACTGTTGTTGCTCCTATTGGGTTGTACGGCGGTTGTCTACGTGGCTCAGATGCGGTCCGGGGCGTGACAGTAAATGCAAAGGCTCTCATGCTGTCAGGTTTCAAAAAAAGGTGTTTTGAAAAGAAAAAAAAGGAAAATTGTGTATGATGATGAAAATGTTGATTAAGTCTCTAAACTTTAAAAAAATGATCAAATTCTTGAACTGTTAGAAAATGTTCAATTGGGTCCATTAGCAAGTTATCTACGACGTCAACAAGTCACTTGCTGACGTGACACACATGTGACAGTCCAATAAGCAGTGGCTTTGCTAACGTTGCGCACACATGAAAGCTAGTCAGTCATTTCCCAATGACGTGGCGCACACGTGAACCGCCACGTGTGCACACGTCAGTGGGTGGGTGTCCTGCTGTCATAGCAGGTAACCTGCTAATTGACTGAACTGAATATTTTTTCAAAACTCGAGTTTTTAATTAATTTTTTATAAGTATGAGGAACTAATTGACATTCTCGTGATAGTACGGAGATCCAATTGACAGTTTTCCCAGAAAAAATGATGTATATGAAAGAGCTATAGAAGGTGCTTGAAAATGATTCTGTAACGCTCGCACTTTTTATTTACTTCTTATGTGCTGCTTAATGATATATGATCATGTTATAACTTATGATTTTGAGTATTATATATGTAAAGTTGGGAATATCCTGTGATTATGAACTTTGTGATATTTGTGTTTGAACTTACATATTTGTGATATGTTTGAACGTGACAGACGACGGTATCCGATGAGCAACGAAACAAAACTGTAATAATCATTTTTATTTTGGATGTAACAGTATATTAAGTTAGTTGGCATGTTAGATAGTTTTTGGGTGTTTAAAATTTAGTTTAAAATGTCATCGGGGGTCTAGGGCGTGATCAACAACAATCGGAGTCGGTTTAGGGCGAAAATGATGTTTCCGGCACTGGGAGGCCCCAGACCGACGTCGGTGGGCCCCAGACCGGCGCTGGACCAAAACAGAAAGTTTGTATGGCGGAAAGGCAACCACGCCGGTCATGACCAAACTGACGCTGGTCCATGCAGTTTTGATAGATCGGTTTAAACACATTTTAAAACGCATAAACCCCTTTCAGCCTCAAAATCGACCTATGCTCATCCCTCTCTCTACGAATTAATTCCAGACCCTTCCCAAAGTGATTCAAGTTCAATTTAAACATATTTCTTCATCAAAGTTCATCAATTGGTAAGATTTTACACTCTGCGTGAAGTATTTCTTCTATATTTTGATTTATAGTTCTTGTTTTTGGATTATACTAGGGATGATTGATTTTGGGTTGATTCTAAGAAAATTAACGGATTTTCTTGATAATAAGATTGTTGTGGAGTTGTTGTTTATCCTTGATTTAGCAAAGTTCAATTTGTTCTCGAGTAACTAGCTATCCCGAAGTCATGCTGATTTGATGTAAGAATTTGGGGAAGTTTCTTACTATTTAGGGGCTGATTCTACATAGATACATAGAGCTTTTGATATTATAGTTGGTTAGTTGTTGTTGGTTCTTGATTATGAATTTCAATCGGTTTTTGGTTATCTAACTACTCGAGGATTTGACCTTTTGGGATATAGAAATCTGAGGATTTTTATCATGTTCGGGGCTGATTTTGTAGAATTTCCCTCATCCTTAAGTCTTAGGATTTTGATAAAAGCATGAAATTAAGTTGACCAAGTGCAAATCATATATAAAGTTGCTCATCGAAGAACCGTTGCTCATGGACGTTGTACACGCACAAAAGGTAAATACTTTGCGTGAACCAGGTAAATCACCACCACCTATACATGATAGTTCTAAATAAAGTATGGAAGTCTAGCTAATTATGAATTTGATATATTTGCTTGGATACTTGAAATTTGTATGCCATGAGATTATGTGAATTCCAAGTTATATGTATCTATTGAAAATTAGTGTTAATTGTGGAGTTATTTAATTATCAAATGTAAGGTATTCAAGTTTTATGCTTGATTTTAGGTTGGGTTCCTATGGAACCAACGATGAAAGGTAGTTGTGATGATAATGATAAATAATGAATGATATGTGATATTCTAAGGTAGCCGTGCCCCCAAGTAACTACTTGAGCTGAGCGTAGTGAGACATCCTCCCACAGGGAGTCCCAGAGTTACTTCTGATGGTTTGCGGGCTAGCTACCTGAGGTCATCGGTGAGGGGCAATGACACGAGCTACGACCCCATAAACTCAAAGAACAAGATGAGAAGAAAGAATGGTGAACAAGGAAACCCCTTGGGTTGGTATTTGAGCAGTTATGTGATGTTGTGTGTATTTCATGTGTGACAACAATACATGTGTGGTGTATTTAGCGTGTGTATCAGTTTACGATTAGCTAAAAGTGCTATATGCTTCATCCATTCTCAATTAATTGCAACACTTGTCATTTTGGAAATTTCATATTAATTGCAACACTTCCGGTTTTAGTAAGGAAAAAGTAGAGTTCCTTAAATGCCCCTAATCAATATACACCCACTTTAATTTTCAGACTCGGTCCGTAGAACTGTTTCTCACACGCTCTCTTTATTTCTTCTACCTACCTCATCTCCTAAAAAGTACACGATCTTTCTTTTTAATTTCTCTCCATCTACCATTTCTCAAAGCAGAGGAGGAAGGGTGGGCAGCAGGTACCGGTGAACCAGATGGCCGCAGTGATGAAATCTGGGACGAGTTTTTTCTGTTTGATGTTTGTTGTTCGGGGGGGTGAAGATTGTTAACTAGATTCTAAATACGAAGATAAAGAAGGGCCACTTTAACGCACTAAAATAGCTAACCAGACTTTCTTCAATCGGTTTAATGGGACTCTTCTTTCTTAGCCATTCCAATCGGTCAAATTTCATGAAATAGAAGCCCCCAGGGAACATTTTAGTTGTCTTAGTTATCTTATCCATCATACGAACTACGAAGTACGTCTAGCTTTCTCGTTTTTCTTCCATCACCCCAATTAATGGAGAGTCACCCAGACCCCAATATTCAAGTCACGGATTTAGTGGTTTCGGTTACCCCTTCTCCCCCTCGACATTTGACTTCTCACGTCACTAGCACTATTTGTACTCCTTTCTGCCTTGTAGCAAGAAAGATGACACGTTGGACATTCAGCAAGAAAGATGACACGTTGGACACTCAATCATCGGGACAAGCGTGAAACTTCTCCCACTCAACTCCCATGGGACACAATAACTTTCCTGCCTTATAAGTTGTATAGGGGAGTGTATTCCCTTCAGGCACCATCTCTTGAATTAATGTCAATAACTATGTAAAACTGACATTACTCCATCCATTTTTTGCTATCAAATGAAATAATTTTAACACCGCAAATAGCTTAGTAAAACTAGAGGTAGAATACAAAAGTATTCTGGCGGCATCAACCATATTTTCATATGATTTTGGTTGTTATTCAAAATTATCATGCACATCCTTCAAAAAATCATTCATTTTATCATCATTGAAATCATCATCCACACTACTACCATTGTTCCAATTAAAGTTGGTGGTAGTTTCACGGGCTTTACGCTTTAAATTTATAGCGGCGTCTCGTGAAACAACATTCTCACCATCCTGGCAAGTCTCTCCATGTAATGTCCAAATGATGTAATTTTCTCTAAAGCCTCTCTCAAACAAATGTTGAAGTATAACATTGACGTCACTATCTCTTCTCAAGTTTCGGCATCGTAAACAAGGACATAAAATTCCTCTATGTCCTTGTTGTTTCTTGTATGTGACAACAACTTTGATGAACTCCTTCCTTCATACCAATGAAAAATTCAGGTCTCGACAACCATACATTCAAAAACGATCCATCTTGAACAAAATTCTACATTTGTCTAATAAACATACATTATATAACGTGCATATAATTTTTTAGATGAAAGGTAAACATATATAAACCACCCCAAATATTATATACTACCTCCGTCCCGTTGGAAGGTTCCCATAGCAAAACAACACAGTTATTTAGGAAATAATTAAATAAAGTACTTCGAGTATATTTTGAAAAATAATTTTAATATGTATATATTATAATCTAGTTAGCATTGATAACTGTGATGTTGTAAATGTATTATTTTTAATATTTAATTATTAGTTTGTCACTTAAGATTGTTAATTGTTTCGTAAAATGAAAATGAGAACCTTTATATGGGACGTCCAAAAAAGGAAAGTGAGAAACTTCTAATGGGACGGAGGGAGTACATGTGACACCGCATCCGGATGTACTTGAATTTAATATTCAGTATGTTTTTGAATTTTATAGCGAATAATCTTGTGTAAAAAAATGATGGATTTAATTAATGAACGATTAATTAAATTATTTATCGGACCAATAATATTGAGATTGGACTACTGATAAGTCCGTATTTAGACACACATTTGATGTGTGTTCAGGTTGGAATTTGATGATTTTCCTAGCTTTAAGGTGTTGCAAGTCTCAATTTTAGCTCAAGTTGCGATTATCAGGCGTTGGGATGAGTTCTTTGCATTTGGAATTGAATTTAAGAAGTTAGAGACTGGCAATCAGCGCTTGAGAGACATTCGGGAAGGATTTGATGGCATTCGAAGAAGATTTGAGAGATTTGGAGGTCATCGGGAGATTCACGACGAAATTCTGATGAAGAACGAGTATTTGATTGACCTCGTATGCATCCGGGAGCATTTGGAACAAGGAAACGAAGATAAAGTGAAGAATAAGGTCACGCACGGTCGTGCCCAGGGTTAGGCACGCCGTGCGTGCCTTGTTTAAAGCAGGAAAGTTACTGGAGGCCAGGCACGGTCGTGCCCGGCAGTCAGGCACGCCGTGCCTGAAGTGAAACGAAGGAACAAAGCTACTGGAGGCCAGGCACGGTCGTGCCTGGACGCGTCAAACGGGTTTCTTCCGCAGGCATGGTCGCA